ATATATGATTGAGTTAGACTTGGAGAATGTATGGCAAAATGTTAAGAAAGGTTTAGTGGATGCAGCTACCGAAGTATGTGATGTTAGTAAGAGAAAGAATGAAGGGAAAAATAAAACGTTATGGTGAGATGATGAGATACGTATGGAAGTTGAAGCAAAAAAGAGAGCATGGCTAAATTTACTAGCAACAAAGGCTGGTAATTCTAGCGGTACGAATCATGATATTGAAAGAAAAAAGGCAGTCTTTAGACATCTAAATAAGAGAGTAAAAGAAGTAGTTGAAAGAAAAAAGCAAGAAAGAACGGATAATAGTGATAGAAAAATATCAGATAACTTCCAGGCAAATATTAAAATGTTCTGGAAACTCGTGAGAAATACCAGGGGACTTTCAAAACAACCTATAATGAATGCTATACGAGATGAGAATGGATATATTCTGAATAACGAAGTTTTGAGTTTAAAAAGATGGAAGGAATATTTTGAAAGCATTTTTATGAGTGAGGAGACATCGTATAAAATAAATGAACTCCGAAAGAAGAGGAAAGTGGTAGCGAGATAAGTATAGATGAAATAATGAAAGCAATGAAAAGCATGAAAGCAGGTAAGGCTGCCGGTATATGATAGAGTTTCACTCGAAATTCTAGGGGCTGGGGAGGAAGTGGTGGCAGGCCTGCTACACACCTTGTTTAATTTATGCTGGGAACTGAAGCGGGTACCGGTAGACTGGTGCAAAGCCGTGATAGTCCCAGTATATAAAGGAAAAGGGTCGCAGCAGGACTTTAAAAACTACCGTGGTATCAGCCTTCTTAGCATTGTGGGAAAACTGTATGCTAAGGTACTGATTGAAAGGGTCATAAAAGAAACTGATGAAAAAATTTGGGATGTGCAAGCGGGATTTAGAAAGGGAATGATATGTACAGATCAAGTCTTTTCCATGCGCATGATCGCGGAAAAGTTTTTGGCCAAAAACCAAAAGGTTTTCTGTGCATTCATGGACTTGGAAAAGGCCTATGACAGAGTGGATAGGGATGTGCTATGGCAAACACTGAATTCATTTGGGTTGAACGCTGGCTTGATACAGGCATTGGAGTCGCTTTAGAGGACTCTATTGCTTGTGTTAGGATCAACGGGGTCTACTTGGACTGGTTTGGCATCCATAAAGGTGTCAGACTGTGGCTTCTGTGGCTTCCCCGTGGCTGTTCAACCTATTTATAGACAGTTGTTTGCAAAATTTGAAAGTTGAAGAATGCGGATTAAGAATGGGTGAGTAACCGTCAAATGTCTTTTGTACGCCGATGATCAAGTTATTCTTGCGTCGTCGGCGACCGAGATGCAAATGATGGTTACATTAACGAACAGATTATTAAAAGAAAGGGGTATGAAAGTGAACGCAAGTAAGACGAAAGCTATGGTTTTTGAAAGAGAAGAAAATAAGACGATATGTGAAATAAGAATAGAAGGGGAGTTGATCGAGCAAGTAGATGAGTTTGTATATCTGGGTTGCGTATTTAGCGGGGATGGGAGATGTGATAAAGATATACAACGACGAGTGAATGCAGGAAATAGAATAAATGGGGCCCTACACTCTATTGTGAAGAGTCAAAATGTGTCGAAAAAGGCACGTATGGCAATTCACAACGCTGTGTTGGTCCCTACTTTTTTATTTATTTTTATGTTGCAAAGAAAATTTATGTTGCAGAAGTGAATGGCAGAGTTGGAAAGGGACGTCCTACGCGAAAATTTATCGACCAAATTGGCGATTTATTGAAAACGGGGCAAATTAGGAGTACCCATAACCGACGAGCATGTATGCGTAGGTGTATGGATGTGAAGGAGGCGAGAGAGGTATGTCAGGATCGTGCCAAATGGAAGTCTGTAGTTTCTGCCTACCCCTATGGATGACAGGCGTGAGTGTTTATGTATGTATTTATATAATAAATTCTACCCAGGTGGAGCCACGGCGGTATGCAAGTAAAAAATAAAACCTAAAATGACAAGAATAACTATTTCATGAGAGACATGTAAATGTTATTTCAGATTTATTCATACTTCAATGTTGTCGAATTGGATATCACAATAAAAATCGCGAACGTTCACTATTTCCACAATCAGAAGCGTGTTTGGCTTCGATTTCCACTCGTCCGCTTTGAATTTGTTATTGCAGCAGTTTAGAATTCTTTTTTTAAAAAAAATTCTGATATTTGACATCCGTTTTATGCCAGCCTTTTGCCTTTTTTAGACAATTTTTATATGAAAAAGGGTGACAAACGATCACATAGTCCACTTGATAGTAGTAGTCCTCGATTAAAAATCGAAATGTAAAGGCATTGTCACCAGTGAAGACTAAGATGGAATGGCTCGTTTGCATTGAAAAGGGTCTCCGGTTCTCTAAACTCACCACACGGAACATAGCGTGAGTCGAGCCGACCCACTCATGCTGCATCCAGAATATAGCTAAAGCAACCTACCACATAAAGGTTTTCTTTTAGTATTTTAAACATTGTTCATCTTTATCATCGTTCGGTCAATTCATATTTTAACAATAAGCAGTACTGATCAGCACATACTGTCACCTTGTTATAAAGATTTATTTCATATTATTATTTTTTTCAGTCAGAATAGTTCCCTCGGTCAAAACTATTTTTGACCGTCGAAAACAGTCAAGTGCATTTGACTGCGGACTTCGGTCTAAGACAGCTTAGACTGAAATTCCTAAAGCCTGCAGTCAAAACATTTGGTTACCTACCAACCCAACAAAGGCCGGTATATAATTATAGATGGCTGACAGTCTAATTTTGTGCGATTTACGCGAAATTTTCTGTGGAATTTACTCTCTTGAGCGGTTTTTTGACTTAGGGACCTTCAAGCAAAAATTCTACTCCTTTCTAAAAGGTTGGCACCGTATCTGCAATTCCCCTGGTGTTGCAGATGTTCACGGGCCACTACAGAGGTGAGCCGTATGCAGGTTTGCCTCATCTTTCATAAAAAATGCGATTTTAGCACACTAGTTTATTTTTGGCCACTTTTAGAGCACCTTATCTCAATGACACTGTTTTTTAAGTGATATCAGCGACAATAGAATATGTGGCTGTACCCATGCTGCCCATAAAAAACTTGTTTGGTTCTTAATCGAGAATTAGGGGGTACGTTTTTTTTCTATAAAAAAGCAACTACGAACAAAGAGCAAGCTATATGGCTGGCTCGAAGTCAAGACTAGCTAAAATTGATGCTCCGATTAAGAAGGTTGTGAAGTGTCGATACGCGGCGCCAGTAAGTATTTTCAAAAATGCTATCTGTTTCATTCCGCTCGCTCAGTATCGCCGTATCGTGCGACAGAGAGAGTTACATTTCCTTTTTGAAATATTAGACTATGTATACTTAATGTTATCGCTTTATGTGTGAAAATTCACAGCTTCGCAATCCTCTTAAGCTTGACGAGTACACTCCGGATGCGTTTTAATGGATATCCGTGGAAAGCGTGTCCTGTCCCCTGTCTGCTGCAATCGACGTGGAGGCCAAAAAACTTTTTATATATTGGAATGATTATTTTTTACAGATTATAACTGAACTAATGACTGAGGCTTTATCTTCTCAATACTTGCAAAGCAAAGCAAAGACTTTAATCGTATATCCTAGACATTTAAGAATATAATTTCTGAGTCTATATTAATAATTTTCTTATTATTTTAATTTCTCATTACTATTGTTTTCTTTTTTATTAGTTTAAGTGCTTCTTTAACCAATTCCCGACTGTTTGTGAGTCAATTAAGGTCTCCGCTGAAAACTAAAACTGTGGTACCCCCCAGACTATCTCTGAGTCGTGATGCTTTTTGACATGGCACAAATGTGTAATTACCATTTTGTAATTTGTGTGAAGTCCTATGTATGTCAATGTTGTGTGTTGATCAAATAAATGTTTCTTTCTTTCTTTACTTTCTAATTTTATTCTGCACGATTCAGGTGGGGTCGCACGGTTGATCATTGATTGATAAGAGATAAACTAATGCGTTGGTTGTGGGTTGAACGGAGAGACGAGTTTCGTTGGAACAAGGCCGCTCCTTTGACATAAAAGAGAGTATAACAAACGAGAATAGAATCCATCCAGTGGTAAATGAACGCAACAAGAATCAAAATGTTGATGCGTTGCCACTTTTAAGGACTAGGATACATAAATTACCAGAAAAAAATTCAGTTCCTTAAAATATTCTTTAAAAAACGAATCCTTTTGGAAACTAAGTAACTCGAGAGGTTAAGTAATAAATGATAACATAGTACATAAACATAATATGTGATCCAATTAATTTCATTATACCTAGGTTATGTTAGTAGAATGTACAAATTTTTTATATGTGTAGTGTTCGCGTTAATATAAGTAATCATTAAGGCTTCCGTCTAGCTGTGCTGTTTTACATTCCCGGCCATTAGAGGGGGCGCTCTCCCCCGTGCATAAATACGTTCGAGATCGCAAATGAATTTGCTCTATTTCATTAAATATATAACTTATTAATTTTTTTTTCTAAAAAATATTCCTTTTACTTTTGTTATGGTAGTATCATTTTTTACCCTTTTATATTTCATAAATGTCGTTTTTAGTCATATTTATACGGGTTGTAGGTTTAAAAAGGATAAATACAACCGAAGAAAAAATACTGCTTCTTGTTTTCATTCCTACAATTTTCGACTCTACCTTGTACATTTTGTATTAGAATTAGTCAATTTTTTTATTTAAATTTTTTTTGTATGAAATGTGGTTCAGCTCCATGATTCCAACTCCTCCCGTCTAATCGGATGTATATGATTTTTTTATACAAACTGAACATACAAATAGCTATTATATCTGTTTCTTTTAAAGAAAAATCGTATAGAGAAGTAATTTAGAAGGCAAACGATAAAAAATTCAAACAAAAGAATAACTGAATAGACAAATATTTATTTATTTAGTTGGTTACAAGATTAAAAATAAGAAAGTTTTTTCGAGTGTTTTTTGTATTGTGTAGGGGTTAACTTTTTGGGGATATTTTGTTATTAGCTGCACGAGCACATATCATACAGTATTTATTTTTGGTTCCTAAGTATAACAGTTTTCCAGTATAGGCACCAATAATTGCTGCTGCACCAGAAAAAGCAGCATAATTTTTGACCAGCGCAATTACCGTTATCATGGGATTTCCATCGCTGTCAACGCTTCCAGTTTCTTTTGCGTGTCGTGCTTCCTCTTTTCCTGCCTCCCGCATTACTTGATCCGCTGTTTTATGAAACCAGTCATAAACAACTTGGCTTGTGTTATTGTACAATTGTTTTGACATAGCGGGTATATCAGTGTTTGCCGCTAGTTCGTTCAAATTTTCGAGACCACAACTAATACTGATCGTGCCCGCGACAATACCATGATTAACATTGTAATTAGCATTGGGATCATCGGTGCTTATATTAAATTCTGCATTACATAATTGACATTTCAAGCACAACGTTGAAATAAAGCCTTTTCTGGTCTCACCGATGCATTTCAAATTTGAAAATCTGCATCCAAATGATTCATGACTGTGATCAGCAACTGCTTGCAGAGAAAGTAAGAAGTATCGTATAGAGACAATTCTACGTCCTTCTAAATCAAAATCCTCTTTTTTTACTACACATTTCTTCACGTTCTACATTGAAGTCGAAGCAATCACCCTTTTCACGTGCGTACGGCTGGCGCTAAAGTAAAAAAGTAATAGCTTTGTTTTACATTTCTACGAGTCAAATTTTATGAGCCCCTATTTACCATATTTTAATTACCTTAATTTTAACTTTTCTAAAAGGCGGTCCACTTGTGGCTTTTCGTTTTCGCCCCTTTTTATTAACCTAAAATAAATATTATTATTAGCTTTTTAAAATAGCAAAACTGCAAGTATTTATTTGTGTACATAAATAAAAATGAATAACAATTTTAAAACAAATGAGATATTTTAGATATTAAACATGTACAACATGTGTTTTATGCACGATAATTGGCTAATTGCTACTCAAAAATAACTGTTCATATTAAGGTTGTACATCACGATATTTACATTTGGGGTAACATTATTTAATAAAGCTACATTGATTCCATCCATCTTTTACCGTTTATTTCTTTTGGTTGTAAATTGAAATTTTCACCAAATAGAAGTCAAAGTCAATTATTAATCTAACACATTAATACTAATATAAACACTAATACACTTACACACTAAAAACTGGAACTAATATGTACAATTAAATATAAAAATGTTTAATTTTATTTATTTCTAATTTACTTGAAAATAGTTATACTTTATGTGGTTTTAAGTACGACTTTGCCACATTTATACTTCTAATAGAAAAAAATTGATATTTGCACTAAAAAAATTCATGAAATTACAACTTTTTAAGCCCTCCAAATAAGAAAATTAAAGCATTTATAAAAAAGTGACCAGATTAGATTATTGTAGACAATATGTAAATAAATGTGATCTAAATACTTTTCTTGATATTGTTATAGTTTGTACATAGCATAGGCTTTAATAAGACTTTTTACGCATGTAACCTAAACATAGGCATGTTTAACGCCTAATACAGCTATTAATTTAAACACCAAAATAAAATTAAAAAACAGTTTCCAAAATATCAAATCCTACACTTAATACACTTACACTTACTTAATAAATGTAAAATAAGTTTTACTTTTTCTTTTTTAAATACCATAAAAAAGTATTTGTTTTGCTGTAAATTTTGCGAGAACACAAACTTTTACAAGACCGGGGCCTTAAGTATTTAATTATTTAATTTTTGCTTGCATCCTATGGTGCTAACAGCTAATGCACAGGTCTCCTAGTTTTGGCTGCAGATGCAATGTTTTCCGGTATATGTACCAATGTAGCTTTATCAAATATCTTGATGTACCCCTTGGAAACAAACTAAGTATTATTAATAAGTTCCTCAGCGCGTCTATAAAATACCAGCTAATTTAATAATAGTTGCAAGTTAACGTTGCTGTGTTTCGTATGGCGAGTATAGAGAACCGGAAACCCTTTCTCCTGGAGACGAGGCATTCCATCTTAGTCCTCATGGGTGACAAATAGATGTGGATGTCTATAGGCCACACCATCCACTTATCATCAGGTGACTGTGTGCCCTTTTGACAACGTTATCCTATAAAAATACCGCATGGATCGAGAGTGAGCGAGAAGTTGCATCATTCTAGTGTAGACATATCGATGGTGGCGAGGTAGAATTGAGGGTATATCGAGAACCCTAACTCGTCTGTGAAGTATAAAGTATAAAGTTCACTGTAGGTGCCGTGCCGGAGGGGTTCCTCCTATGCCAAGTCATGCTATGAGTGATAATGACAGTATCGTGGTTCTATTCATTGCAGCAATTCTTCAGGCAAGGAAGATGGTATTGTTGAGAGGATGCTCTATGTTACAATGGGATGGGTAGTGTTTGCTTACTTTGGTGGTATCATTTAATTACTTCCCTCTCGTTACACTACTGTGTAATTGTAACGGGATCATATTACGTTATGGTCGAACTGTAATATCTCCAAACTTAATGTGTAGTGGAATACACTGTTTTATTGCTGATTATGACTAATTGCGTAGGCAGGAGAGTAAGTTAAATATCCGCTCTCAAACAATATTATTTTATAGATTTTACATTCTGATATTTCCGACATATTTCCGATATTTTAGACATGTTCAACTTCAATGTTTTCCTGACGGATGTAACAAAAAAGGTTCTGAAAGGATACGAATATACCAACCGAGAAGTTTGGTCAGAAAATTCGGGAGTTAAGATTACGATTTATTTATGTAAATGTAAATCTAATATCAAATTTAAAAAGGGACTGAGAAAACGTTATCCATAACGTCGAATTGTAAATTTGAGTAATAAAAAAATTGATGCCATTAGGTGTTCTCTTACGATCACATTCTCACAGCATAAGGGTGACAAAAGAGCACACAGTCAACCTGGTGGTAAGTGGATGGTAGTGTGGACCATAATGTAGACATACATCTGTCGTCGATTGGATGTGCCAAATCGGCAATCCAAGTGTATCTCGTAGCGGCTACGCGTTAGCACCTACCTTAGTATGAAAGTTATTGAGAACATAAGATCGATTTGGGGTATAATAAATAGCACAGACATAAACAGAACAGAGAATAATTTTTTTAATAGGACGCAACTTCTTAAGAACGTGCAAAATTGTTACCTATTTTGGTAGGGTTGTCACAATAGGTGAAGACAAATTACACAAAACAATTGTTAAATAGTTTTATTGTTCAATATTATAGAATACTTTACAAATTAGATAATTATTCAAAATTTTTCTTTTTATAATTTTTGTTTTTTTATTAATTTAAAGTTTCTTTTAATGGCGTGGTTAATTTTGAATCTAAAGTAACGTTTTATCAAGTAATCTAAACACTCACATTGCATATCAAATTTACAATCTTTAATACGTTTATGTATTTCGTTGCCAACATTGAAAGTATTTATTTCAAGACGGAAATATTCGCGTATACAGTAAAATTAAGGTACTTACTTGAAAAAGTAATAATCAATATCTACTTACTTATTGTACTCGTGGGGATAGTTCAAGTATGATATATTTTTATTCTTTCTAATGTTATTCATACACACAGTACTACAAACAACAATTATTAATAATACCACGGTTTTACATTAAAATATTCAAAGTTGCAACTAAGAAAACAAACAATGTGCGTCACACGCAAAGATTGTCCACTGGCTATGCCAGCGTAACCGGTTTTTTCCAGTCTCGACGCGTACGCGACAAGAGGCCAGTGGTCACGCCCCATTACAGACTATTGAAGTTACTGCTAAACATAGGCCTCCCCCATAGATTGCCTCATAGAGGGGATATTTACCATTGTTGACATGCTTGGCAACCGCAGTTTGTTTTATTTAATTCATTTATATAAAGACGCTGCTGGCTATTTTCTGATTTGTTTTCGTCTGTCACCTATTACTACACACACGGGATGATATAGGATAGTCGATATTCTCCACGGTAACATATATTACTACACCCACGGGATGATATAGGATAGTCGATATTCTCCACGGTAACATATATTATTACACCCACGGGATGATATAGGATAGTCGATATTCTTCACGGTAACATATATTACTACACCCACGGGATGATATAGGATAGTCGATATTCTCCACGGTAACATATATTACTACACCCACGGGATGATATAGGATAGTCGATATTCTCCACGGTAACATATATTACTACACCCACGGGATGATATAGGATAGTCGATATTCTCCACGGTAACATATATTACTACAGCCACGGGATGATATAGGATAGTCGATATTCTCCACGGTAACATATATTACTACACCCACGAGATGATATAGGATAGTCGATATTCTCCACGGTAACATATATTACTACACCCACGGGATGATATAGGATAGTCGATATTCTCCACGGTAACATATATTACTACACCCACGGGATGATATAGGATAGTCGATATTCTCCACGGTAACATATATTACTACACCCACGGGATGATATAGGATAGTCGATATTCTCCACGGTAACATATATTACTAAACCCACGGGATGATATAGGATAGTCGATATTCTCCACGGTAACATATATTACTACACCCACGGGATGATATAGGATAGTCGATATTCTCCACGTTAACATATATTACTACACCCACGGGATGATATAGGATAGTCGATATTCTCCACGGTAACATATATTACTACACCCACGGGATGATATAGGATAGTCGATATTCTCCACGGTAACATATATTACTACACTCACGGGATGATATAGGATAGTCGATATTCTCCACGGTAACATATATTACTACACCCACGGGATGATATAGGATAGTCGATATTCTCCACGGTAACATATATTACTACACCCACGGGATGATATAGGATAGTCGATATTCTCCACGGTAACATATATTACTACACCCACGGGATGATATAGGATAGTCGATATTCTCCACGGTAACATATATTACCACACCCACGGGATGATATAGGATAGTCGATATTCTCCACGGTAACATATATTATTACACCCACGGGATGATATAGGATAGTCGATATTCTCCACGGTAACATATATTACTACACCCACGGGATGATATAGGATAGTCGATATTCTCCACGGTAACATATATTACTACACCCACGGGATGATATAGGATAGTCGATATTCTCCACGTTAACATATAATACTACACCCACAGGATGATATAGGATAGTCGATATTCTCCACGGTAACATGTA